GTTTTTTTTTTCAGACCTCGCGTCAATAAAATACGTCACAGGAAAAGAGGAAAATTTCCCACGCTTTGCCAGTGACGTCAGATTGTGGCGTATTCCTATGACAATAATACGTCAGTTTTTAGTCCCGTTTTTGTTTTAGTGAGTTTTTCAAACGAATACACCTGGGTTTAATCTGTTTTTATTTGAACTTTTATCTAAATAAATGCAAGTTATTGAACATCAAAAGCACGCCGTATGAAAAGGAGGACTATTTGTCCGCAGGCTTAGTTTGTGTTGTTGTGCAGCGCCATCTAGTGTTCACCATGCGCTCTTTTCAGACACCCCACGTATTGCTGCTGTTCCACCTGTCGTACTTCATAAGTACTGCTGCACTACTGCCAGTTAGAATTTACGGTTTGTTTCTGAAGCTGCCTTGTCCAGTGCTCTGTGCTCCCAGCCATTTAAAGCCACAATATTGAATTAATTTCACCTTGTTTTTGTCCTCTGATATCTACGACTACTGCTAGCTTTTTAATGAGGAATCTTCAGGGGAAAAGTCAGCTAGTTGAACTCCATAGCAGCGAGACCTTCACAGCCTCAGCATAGTGTTGTAACGGTTCGTGTTGGCACAGCAGGAACAGGACTTTCCTTCTGGTTTTGCTGTCCAGCAGCGGAGATGGTCTTTCGGCCAGGAGAGCCCGTGAGCCGACGTCAAGGTCGTGCTGCGGTGTCGTGTCAGTTCTGGCCACTGCAGATCCCGTGCGTAGGCTCCTGCTGCAGCAATTAATTACTGCAACTGTATCGCGCACCACACGGTGATGGATGGCCAGGAGTTAAAAAGAAGGCGACTCAGCAGTTTTTCCCCAAGTACAGCTGACTTGTTCACAGTTCACTGTCCATCAAAGGATAACCCACAAACTGCACTGTCCCTGGACTCTTTCCAACATCTGTGCTGTCACTTGGATCAATTAAATACGAATAATAGAAAGATTCAGAAAAGCTCATTTGGCTTGTACAGTTACTTATTTATTATAAGCATTTTATTATTGACCGTTTTCCATTTGTGTGTTACTACAGGGTTTTGTACAGTAGAAATGGATCCCAGACCATCAGGCTCATGGTGACCACATGAGGGGTTTTAATTAATCCCCTTAAGTTCAAGGAACTTTTATCCACATCCACTGATTTGCCTAATAATTTGCTCTTAATCATGTGGTCTCAGGCCTTTACCTGCCTGGTTTACAACACATGATCACATTCCTAGTCACATCTTTATTTGCAGTCGCCTGCCAACATTTCAGGATTCCAGGCCGGGTTTCGCAGTCCTCTGCGGTCTCTGACACCACTCAGCCCTTAACAGCTTGGTCTAGCTATCAGACACTGCTTCATCTTCCCACCCCATGGCTGACACCAGCGTCTTCCAACAGTCACTACAAAGGGCCTGCGCTCTCTGCTGTCTGAATTTCCTCTCTTAAACTCAGCCACTCTTGCGGATGTGTTTAATGGGACACAGGACTAGACGAGTCGGTTTGTAGTCCTGATTGGCATGCAGGTTTGGAACTTTCTCTTCCTTTAAAAACCTTGTGCACCAGCTAAGCCTGTCCAGAGACTACTGTATACGCAACAGCACAGCAGTTCAGATGTCGATTGGTCGTGAGGCTCGCATCAAAGATGTATCCATCTCTGAGGGCTCTGGGAGAGGCCTAGGGAAGAGCATTTTTGAGCACCCATGCTGTGTGACTGGGCTGCCGAGACCTTGATTTCCTCTCTTTGGTGCGATGTCTCTGGTTTGTGATTGTAACAGAAAATTACATTTATTTTACGAGGCTAGCACAGTCCATGATGCCCTTCTATCACACTGGGTCACGGGCCTTTCTGAATCTTTTTAGGGATGGAAGAGCAGCTCAATCACAGTTTGCTTCTGCGAGGAGAGGCAGCTGGCTCAGAGGGCTTTATCAGTTTCAGAGCTTTATGAACCCTGCCTCACTATTTGTTGGAGGTGCTGTTTTTTTGTGTGTGTACCCCACATGTTTGTAACCTGATGTTCTTACGTAGTTCAGGTGGGGAGCTGCGTCAGCATGCGTAGGCTGCAGAGGAACAAGTAATAGGTTTATTCCCTGCTGAAAAGAAACAAAACGTTGTGTTTTCTTTCTTCTCTTTTCAGCAGCATGGAATAAACCTATTAGTTGTGTCTAATATTCTTATGTTTTGCCTGGCGTCCGGACATAAAGAAATGTTCCAAATGAAAATGGTCGCTTCGCAAGAAGTCATCTTATCAAGGGTTAGCGACTGTGAAGATCTTGCCTGTTTTGACAACTTGTCTGTGAAGTGTTTCCTAAAAACTCCTGGCTGTTGTCGCGGAGTTCTGACGGGGGGGAGTCAGACTCGTGTCTGACTGCTCCCATCTAGATTTTCAAAAACATTTGATAATTTACTTCCTTTGACGCTAGGGCCCGCAGAGTCTGTGCCTGTCGACCTCAGACTTGCCAACAGAGTCTGATCTACAGAGATTGCATTTACAGTACATATACACTACACCCACACAAGGGAGCCCACAGGGTGAAAATGAGTCATGCCTGATGCATCCTTACTGTAGCACACTATGGCATAGGTAATGCAGAGGACACAAGTAAAAACTACTGTATCTGGAAGGGCATTCAATGTTTTTTTTAAGTCTGTACCTTGGTTTCTTCCAAAAAACAGCTGGATGAGAGCCTTAATCCTCGGATCGATTTCTTACTCTCAATTGGGCTGTTGACCTCCTTTCCTTTGTACTCGCTTTTATGTTATTAAAAACAGAAGAACCGTAGAGCAAAGCAATGGGATCTAATAGCCGTAACTCTTTAATAGGATGGTGCGAGCTATAAACGGGATTTATAGTAGGATCCTGTGAAAGGAGGTTTTGTAATTACAATTAAAATAGATCAGTGTGCATTAAAATTATGTCTGTGAGTGGATAAAAACCCAAAGAAAAACCATACTGGGGCTTAGGTTGCAGTATATGATTTTGTGTCTCGTTTTCCCTTATCAGTTTCTACCCTGTTAAAAGAAAGCAAGCAAGTGACAGTAAGGAAAAGAAACAGTAGAGAGACAAAGAAATTGCCTTTTAGAAGAATGGGACATTGCTGCAACACAGATGTGTCTGACCAGTGTAATCACCTGCTTAGGAAATGTGGAACAAACGGAGATCAGCGCCGCAGATCTATAAAATTAAGTAGGGTAGGATTCAATGGAGTACAATGTTTCACAATATTAAGTGGACACTACTGCCACCCAGCGGCAGGAACATGAATATGTGCGCAATGCAGTTTCAAAACTTTTAAACGGCGAGTCTTTTTCAGATAAACATGGAATACTGTTGGCCCTGGTATAAGGGTGTCTGTGGTTGTGTGTGCCCTGTGACAGACTGGAATCCTGTCCAGGGCGTACTCTGTCTTTTGCCCTCTGCTTAATGGGACAGGCTCGGGCTCCCCCAAGACACCAAACTGAACAAAGCAGTTAGGAAATGGATGGATTTCACTTTGAATTGCAGGGTTTAATCAAGCCAATCCACACAAGGAACCAGCAGTGTATAAATGCGATTGAGGGCAATTCGAAAGTGACGGATAGACAATGCTGCGCTGTAAGCATAATCCACCTTCACCATAAAGACCAGCCCCATCAGTGACTGTTTTGGACTGACTATAAATGTGAGCTATCAGGTGTCCCCATCATGTAGAACCCTGCAGTGTGCGATTATTATTATTAGCTAATAATAATAGCTAATTTATCTCATCTGTGGGACTAATCTCAGCTGCTCAGAACAATAACCAGTGTTGCTAGAAAGATCCATTGTTTAAGAATGTGTAAAATGTGATGTTTACCATATTTGTCAACTGATAAATTATTGCCACGAAAATAATTTTTTACCATCATGAGACGTGGGTGTGGTTTCTGTCCAGAGCAGTGCCGCCGTCACCCCCACGACCTCCAGTTTATAATAACCTGATCCACGACAAAGTCTGATATTATCCTCTAATTCCTTCGGTTCGTCCAGTTTATCTCCTTAAAGGTTCCCAAAGCACTTAATGTAAATACCAGGGCTCTGAAATACTGCCCTGCTGCACAGCAGATCAGGTACAGAAGAGAGAAATCACATAAATGAATAATGCAATGATTAACACCCCTGCCCTCAATACAGTGCCATGGATTATTTTAATGACCTTTAATGATTAATTAGAAGTCATCAAAATTGAACTGATTCCATCATTCAATAGCTGATCAAAGGGACAGTACCTTCCACACCAGAGTCCCATCATCACAGTGGGCTCTGGTTTGGTCATTCTAGTCCAGAGGGTTTGCCTTAGGTCTCGGATCAGATACAGGGTGGTGATGCTCCGGTCAACTTAATCTCTGCCTTCCTCTTTCGCCAACTGCTTAGCGATTACTTCATGGATTGGTATTGTGCAGTACTTCAGTAAACTCACATCTGCAGTGAGCAAACTTGCTCCTCACTCAGCTATGTTACACAAGTCCATCAAATTGTGTCCCCAAACCACTCAATGTAATTGGAATCGGTGCCTTGTCTGCTTTTACCTAAAAACAGTAGCCATTCTCGTCACTAGGTACAGGACAACAGCTCTGTAGGCTGTCCAAAATTCTTCTCATTACTCTCTGGATTGTTATAACTCCAGCAGATTTTTAATGCTTGCCAGGGCTTTATAGCTGATGGAATGCACAGGGCTGAAACTGTGGAGACTGTGTACAGGGTGAAACCATATTAAATATCAAGACTACACACAACAGGGTCCTTCATCTGATTACTGACCACAGCACAGCTCAGCTTTCAGCAGTGTTCAATGTAAACCCAGGAGTGACATGTACTGAAGTCAGTGATTTAAGAGAGAAAGCCATGCAGAAGCTGTGGATGCATTGCTACTAAACGACTCAGGATTCAACAAGTTTCACAGCTGGTGAAGTCATTTATATACACTTCCTCAGTGTTGCGGTGTATTGCAAATACCATAACAGCTGAACAAAAATGGGTTCATTTATTTTATTCTTTCAATCAAAAGCTTAAGGATTAATGAAAAGGTTTTACTTCCTTACATCAAGACAATTTTAAGTTTTTAGACTTACATCAGAAAACCAAATTTTCTTTTAAAGATATAGGATTCATTCATAGCCAAAAATAAACCAGGAGTTTAACAGCATTATTCAAACCACACAACACTGAGGCGCTGAAGGATCAGATGGAAGATTGAATCTGAGTGGCTAAAAAGGAAGTTCATCACCCTCTATATAAAGTGCTGAAGCAAACCTGTAACAAATAGCTAGCCCTTAAGACCTGACTGCAAAACCTGACTTCTTACATGAGGTTTTAACTAGCAGTGATGATTCTTACATCATTTCAGAGACACTACACAATTAAAGGAAATTCTAACTTGTCAGTTGTAAAACAAAAAGTAAAAACCTAATTCTCTTAACCATGCAAAAACCCCATTAACAGAATAGTAACACTAAGTTGTATGAAGTATTTTCTACAAAAACTTGCTCCCTCACTGAATTAAGTCAAAGTGAACAGTAAACTGGTGTGCTGAACAAAAACTAATGCCATAAAAAAAGACTTAGTTAAATATTCATTCAGAATAATGAAATAAATTCCTAGTTTATCGGTAGCTTGACTTCTGCTGAAAACAGGAAACGCCATTAGAATACAGGTGAAAATCTGTTTTAAAAATAAGAAGATACAGAGTGAATACTTAAAATGATATAAGGTTTACTTTGCATAATTAAAAAACCTTCTATTTTTAATAACTTAAATTCATACATTTATGTAAGTTGAAGAAAACATTTACATTGCAACAATTCGTTGTGATTTTCAAATGTTAACTAACATCTTAATTTCCCCCAAGCCCACAGTAAAAACATGGAAATCCCATTAAGAAAGGCAACACTCATGAAGCCATCCAACTATGGCTTGCTGCCCCAGCCACTGTGAGAACGCAGCTCTGTAGTCACGCCACATACAGCTTTGTCTGCTGCAAAGAAGCAAGTGTTTGCTGGAATTAACGGTATGCAGTATGTCACTGATCCAAGTTAGTGCTCCACTGAAGTCCTTCAATACAGGAGTATTAATTGCCAATTAATAATCATGCCTAAAGAATGTACAGGGAGGTGCTGAAGACAAAATGCAAACCCTTACATATACTACTCAGTTGCAGAAACCAGGGAACTTTATAAACTGTTTATGGCAAAGGCGTAGTTATAAAACATCCCTTGTGACCTTCCTCCCAGTCAGTAACTCCTAATAATTCTACCTTCCGTTTCACAAGATTTAAAATGCTCAAACAAAATGTTAATTAGCAAAACTTCAAAAAGCCTTTTCCTCCAAGATATTGTGGTTAAGATCTTCTAATTGGAAAAAGGGATAAAATTCTAAAGCTGCAATATTTACAATCACTTTCCCAGATATATTCAGGATGAGAAACTATTAATTGGAGTAATATGTTCGATATCCCTTCACAACTCTCAAAGTTAAATCTGCAGATACTATGCAAGATCAATGATAGGACATTTTAGACCAAGTTTAAAGGATATCTGAAGCCACCCAAAGTTAAAAGCTTGGTTTCTTTAATGCAAGAATCATTATACATTAATAACTATTGAATGGTTTGCACTTTTTACAATATGTACCACATGTATCATACCAGCACCTAAATGTTAAGTATATACATTATATATTCTTAACAGACTACAGACAAAAAGTTAAGTATTCTAAGAGATTACTTATGAGGGAAAACATCTGGTAAGTTACTTTGGAGCACTAAAAACACAAGTGAATCCAATAAAGATTATTGTACTGCAATGTACTATGTATCAACTGCATGACCATCATAGCACCTCTTTACAATTCCACACAATCACCAGAGCTAGCAGCTGCTTCGGACAGAACAGGAACCAAAAAAGTCCACGTCTTAGTCTGCAAACTGCAGCGAAGTATTATGCTGCTAGGAAAAAGAAAACAAAATGGAAGGTTGCAGATCTGACAAAATGCCATGCTGGAAAGGACATTCAGTCATAAACTGGCAATACTGTTGAAGCAAATACTCAACACAGCAGAAAATAAAGAACAAGCTTATAACCAAAGTAACATCAGATATCATACCCTTTCATTCAAGTGGATACAAGTAAGGTCACTTCAGCCTTAAAACTTGGAAACGTTCACCTATGCTGATCTTGCTAAGACCTAACAAACAGATGTCCTTTGACTGGAGAAAACCATTATTACAGATATCTACCGCAGCAGGACAGCTTATGGCAATCATTATTGAATTCACTCATCTTTGAAAAAAATGAAAAAGTTTTGATGGCCCTCTTGTTTCCTTTCAAGAAAAAAAAAGTGTTGAGGATTAAGTGGCTTTTTTTTTATTAAGCAGCACGGTGCATTTAATGAGAGCTCTGCTCAGATCATTCGATTGCGTTTATGGGTTGGGGAGTCTGTGATGACATCGCCACACTGGGCTGAGGTCCGCTTCCTAGTGCCACCATTGTCTAAGTGGAGTGCCATTTCTTCCGATATGAAAGTGTTCAAGTCCACATCGTGAAGTCCATTTCTCCTACGGCTCGGGTTGGAGCCACCACTGACGTGAGTTGGGGACCCAGGAGTACTTGAACGGACACTTATGCTTGCCATTGCTCCACTGAGACCTGAAAGACAAATAGAGGACCGTTGTGTCGTTTTCTCAGGTACAAGACGAAGAATTCTTCTACGCGAAAGACGTGTCAGTTTAGGAATTCAAGGGTACAGGACCACTGAAAATTGGTCTGCCAAACCAGTGTATGACTGTTCCATCTGGATCCCATTCGTCTGTCCAGTAGCTTTACAGATTCTGTACTGTAAGGTTACTGACAAACCTCAACAGATTTTGTTCTATTTGCAGGTTAGTCAAAGAGGTTCTGTAATGGCCACCCCATAATACATGCTGAAGTTTTCTAGGGAAATCCACACTTGCCTAATTTGGTACTTAAAATCTAACACTGTAAAGAATAAGCCCTGTTACAAGGTTTAACACATCACAACATCACTCTTTACTCCCATCTGTAGCATGTTTTATCACAGGAACGAAGCCTCTCCTTGATGAATTACATCTTACATCTCCAAGCACAATAACACTGCATACCAATCTACATATTGCAACACCAATGTTTCTTCCATCACTTAAACCCAGTTCACTACGTGCGATTTAAAACAGGTGTAACCTTCAGCCTGCCCTTGTTCAGAAACAAACTCCAACTCGCTGCTCTCCCGCTTTCTCCCACACTTGCCAGAGGTCACAACCCCAGCCTAAACCCCTGTGGAGGAAACTGCACGCCCAGACAAGCGCAGGAAACAGCTGAGCTCGAGTGGCTTCGAGGCATTTCCACTAGTTTCACAACAGCCCTCACAAAGGCACTCCTCTCCACAGCTGACCCAGCAGCACTCATCCGTCAGGACATCAATGAGCCCACTGTGACGTCTAACAACTCCAGAAAGTGCAACACATTAAAGCTACAAGTTCACTTCCCAGATCTTTTTCACGAATGCAAATGCAAACCAGTTTCATGGAAAAACACCAATTCTGTAAAAACAAATTATTCTAACAACGCCAAACTTGACTCTTCAAATCTGTTTTACAGCTGTATTTTAGAATAGTATTTCGTTTCCTCTCCCACATTCAACAGGTGACCACCAGACATGAATCTCTTCTACTTGGAAGGGAAAATGTAACCAGCTGTACGGGTTTTAGTTAAACAGAGGAGTGCCTCCACCTTCCCTTGAACTTTTCTACAGCTGGGCTTGTTTTACAACACTAAGGTTGAGGGCTACTGCAGCAAAGACCAAATCAAAGGTCTGCAGAAGTAAAAAAAAAAAATCCCTTCTCTCATGCCCTGGTCCCTGCTCGTCTCTTACTGGGTAAACCCTGCAGCCTCACCAGGCTTCACAGGTTTTTCTTGACATTAATTATGCACAGTGAACAACGCAACTGGACTGACGCCTGCAGTTCTACCTCTGCAGCAATCAAAACAATGTACTTTAAACATCAATATCTGCCTTAACTTTCCCTCTTATCAACTCCCATTTCATTGCAATACTTATGTCTGTGCTTCCTAAGCAAATAATCTATTTAGATCTTCACAGGTCACTGAACAAATGATAATCCTACAGGCTAATGGTGCCTCAAGGAAGGTCAGTGATTGTTGTTAACTTCACACATATTGTGCCCATATTTTTGTGTCAATTAAGGTTACATTTTGGGGTACTAGTTTTCCGGCTCCACATCTGTAAAGCCATGTAAGCCCAATTTACATGGAAATTTGCCCGGGAGAAAACCCCCAGTCTATCCATGCAACGCATCCCCTAATATTAAAGCTCTGGAAATCTCCAACCTTTCATTTTAAAAATAGTTATCAGAAGCCTGCAAGTGACCATTTTTTCCCCTCCTTCACATATTTACTTGCAGAACCTGAAGAGGACGCAGATTTACCGTGCAGAGCTATGGCTTCTCGGAAGGGCTGCAAGTCAGTCTCTGCAGATGAGCTAGTTTCTGTTGAAGGTGCCCGATTCGGGGACACTACAGTCAGTCTTGGTGGAGCTCTAGAAGTCCTTGGTGGTGGAGCTTTCCCACACAGGAAACTTATCAAGTCCTCCCTGCGTATCGTTCTCCTTCGCTTTTTAACCCAGGCCAATACATCCTTATTGCGGCGCTGATAGCCAATCTGAATTCCTAGGTCATAGCTTCTTTGATGTGCTTCCATGCTTTCTGGAAAGAAGAACAAAAAAAATGAAGTTGGGAGATTTTTGTTTTTATTTCTTCTCCAAATAATCAAAAACTTGATCTCAATACCAGCCACATCAGAATTAACACTAACATCCATTGTTCTCCCACAACCGTCTCAGATATTGTACAGGGGGGTGGCTGCTATGAGATGTACACCATGAATATTTGACTAACTTCTCCAAAGCCAAGACTACAGCAGTAAAAATAGATGAGGATTATAAAGAGTCCAATATGACACCTGATGATTGTGTAACTCCACATTTTTTGTGGACACAAAAGTATTATGAGTACTATTATGATGAGTATTCCAAAAAAAATACACAGAAATGAACTTTTATTGAATGCAAAACTGGCTCACAGACAGCATGGCGAGCTGGACTATATGATACAGCGCCACTGTAGACAAGGTTCTGAGTAAGTAATGCATGAATCATCCAGGCCTCACATAAGGGATCCGACTCCTCCATTTTAACAAGCAATACAGCCCAGCAGTGTCTGCTTAAATTTTTAAAAATGGTGGATTTCAGAATTGGTTTAGTGTAACTAAAATTACTGTACAAACCATAACAGGGGGATGTAACCAGGCAGAATGGGGGATGGCTTTTGAGAAACGTTCACCTTTTTTAGCCATACCTACGTTGAGGGATATTAGAAGGATTAATCACAAACTTTATTTTAAAAGGTGCACACTGATAAAACTGGGAAAATATGAATATTGGCACTTAAATTCCTTTCCCCCTCCCCACCCAAGAATTCATGTCGTCCAAGAAGAATCCCTCAATGCAACATAAGGCGCTGCCTTTGCTCTACAATAGCGTTTCAAGATTAAAAAAAAAACAATTAGAAAACGAGTCTTAAGTAGAGAACAGTCTCTCTAGCTACGCTTAAACCAGTCCTTGCAAATGCTCCGGAGAGTCAGAGACTTGTGGGATTTCGGTTTACACCATCAATTTGGTTGTTTTTTTTTTTTAAAAAGTTAACAAACTCGATTATCTTTTTATTTCTGGTTCCATAAACTAGACAAATGGAGAAACGCGTGTGAAACAGCACCAGCCGCCCCGTCGGCGGAAGAGGCCGAAATTTACCTTTGTATAAATTGGTGACAGCTGTCGCAGCGTTTTGAAAAGGTACCCAAAGCGACAGTCCCTGTTGCTGACACACTCGGTCTGTAAGGGGGGGGGGGAGATCAGGAAAAAAAAGGAGTTAAAAATGTAAAGTGCAACCAACTCAAACGATTGCCAGAACCATCAAACAGCCATGTTAGGATTTCGCCATTTTGAGCAACGTTTTTCGCAAATCCACTTGTTTACCGTGTCCCTCTCTCGCACCTCGATCTTTATTTTTGGAAAGAAAGCCATCGTGCTAAAGGCTTTGTTTGGACAACTTGAATAAACTTTGTCGTCTATAACACACTTTTTGGCAATCGGAATGTTTCGCCAGTCTTCCCCTGTCTGCGCCATTTTGTTTTGATCGACTTGACACAGATGCACTGTGACCGTTAGCGTTTATTCCACTGTTGGGACTTTTTTTTTAAAAAAACGAAATGGTACAGTCCCACGACTGTTCCTCGAAAACACTGGGTAAATATATTTTAAAAAGATTTACAGATGCCCCTTGCCTTCGCCATTTTGTTTCGCGTCCGTAGTTTCGGTGAACAGTATTTTGGTCCCGAGAAACAAAATTATGAAACGGCAGCCCGTTAAGGATTCAACATCTGCCTAGAGAGCCTGTTTCCAATTGCCTAAAGGCCAACGAAGAACTAATTCTACACAACTAAAGGCCCGAGTTATTTTTACTCAGACAACTCCTCCCAGGACTTCGCCATTTTGTTCCTCTTTGGTCTCTGCATACAAACACTGGGCAGCCCTTCAGCTAACCCGACTCCCAATTATGTATCTGCCGCTGGCAGACGCGAAACACGAAGAGATTTACAAAAAAAAAAACGTGCAGGAACACGGATCGGCGAGCTGGTGTTTCATGCTTGTGCCCCGACAGCCCAAACTACAGATTTTTTTTAACGTTTTCCTTCGCCATTTTGTTGAGCTCAGTTATCGAGGGCTGTAGCTCTGCCCGAAAACCTTCCCCAATCACATCCCCAATTCTTTCCTTTTCTCCCCCCACCCCGCTCCGTCCCTCCCTCCAAAAAAATAACCAAGACCAAAAATGGTCTTCGTGCCGTGAAGCGCATTGTTTTTTCTGGTCTCGTTTTTTTTTTTTCGTGTTTTGTTTGCCGGCCATCTCACCCCGCCTGATCTGGGTTTTTAACTGGCAAAGGGAATAAATAAAAGATGCACCAAGTTCTCTCAAGCGGTATCTACGCCGGCGTGTACCCGGACCTTTGTAGAGCTGAGCGACCGCCGTGGCGGAGTTCTGGAAGAGATGCCACAGCTTCTGCTGGCTCTGGTCGGCCTCCTCTTCGCTGGGCTCCTCCTGTTCGGCCTCGGCCAAGCACTGCCGCTCCCATTTCGAGAACCAGTGCTCGGGGCCGTGCTCCTGGATCTCCGACTCCCCCTCCTCCTTCTTATCCTCCATTACCGCACTTCAATCTGTCTTTTATCAAAAGACGAATGGTTTTTATGGCGGTTTTGTTTTTTTCCTAAAAGGGGAATTCTGGGCCTGAGCGGAAGAAAAGAGATCTCCTTTTACGGACTCATTAAGGTCTGCTGTTTCAACACCGGCACACACAACTTTCTCCCGATGACTCCAAACAAACTGAGTCAATTACGCCACCGAGCCGAAACTATAATGAAAACATAGTACCTTGCTGGCACTGGTGTCCCGCCTTACTTTCTCGATATAGTATGTGATTGGCTCAAATACGCTCCTTGGCGTGGTTTTTGAATTCGATCTCGTAGATTGATTGGGGAAGACAAACATCAGTCAAACAACGTCACAAAAGAACCCTGTGTAGCTGGGCAGAGAAACTTGAGGGAGGCAGCTCACTGCGCAGACTCCCTGATGCCACAGACCTGACAGCTGCGGGAAGGTGACGTCACCGTCTGTGACCCCCCCCCCCACAGAACTAAGAAAACAAACATGTCACGTGTAGACAGGTAGCAGAACCACTTCCTAGGTGCTCTTTTCCAAAATGGTAAGAACGTATTCGTACTCTACACAATCGCGGCAGTAGTCTATTGGGTTTTTTTTGTCTTTCAGGCGAAAGATTTTGTTGGGGGGGGTTTCTGAGGAACTGTGTCTGTCCTAAAATCTTGAATATAGCTGATTTGTCAAATCTATGTTTTTAAAAAATAATTATCTCGGTTTACTGATGCTCGCTTCCTTCTGCAGTGATAAATGCATTTACTGTTCTGAGAAGGTGCTGTAATAGACGCAGGAAGATACCACTAGAGGGAGCAGTGCCTCAGTGGAATGCCCATGGGCGGTGCTTAGACAGAGCATGAAACTTCAATAAAATCCTCTAAAGAAAAAGACATGCGGCCATGTATGCAATATCTTCTGTATAGATCATCTTCATCAGCAGTCTTCCTCCGGATGAAGGTGTCCCCAGGACCTGTTCCAACGTGCTACTTCACTCTCCCAGGCAGTGCCCCTGAGGGCGTGAGGTCTCCTTCCCATCACTCCCAGCTTCCGAGCATGTGTTCCTCTCCTTCGGTCCACTGCTGAGCTGTCCCTCGGGTCACTGAAGCACAGAGGCCAGCCCAGACTTCAATAGCCAGCCCAGACCCTCCACTGGTCCGGCAAGGGGCGGTCAAGCCCCGAGGACAAAGGGTCATGCAGTCTGACAGCTTGAGAACGGCATTGTGGGTGACTCAGCCGTTTCAGTGCTGCAGAGCGCGAGTATGTGTTTGTATACATGCTGCAGCTTTTACCCCACGGCAGGGCTCTCCATTGAAGGCCAGAATATTGTGGGTTCAGATGGCAGCTGGATCACTGCTATTGTATCCTAAGAACAAGGCCCTCACTACGATTACTTCAGGAAAATAAGCAAGGTAAATGGATGCAAACCAGGGTCGGTTTAGATAAGGGAATCTCTCACATTAATAATATTTAATAATTCTACAGATAGCTTTTGTATGCTTCACATCAAGTGACTGTTTACTTATCTGTGGTCTGTGTCACAAAGAGAAACAGGCCAGTGTTCGATATATACATAGTGTTGTTTTATAGTCATAGTTTTCTTGAAAAGCACCCTTTGATGAAGTATAAGCGTCCTAGAATGGCTTGCCAACAAAAACCAAATTGCTTTTTACATGAAAATAATTAGTGTACAAACAGAGAAACATTTGACTTCAGAAAACAACTGATGGGTCCATTTATACTTTCCCATTGTCCCACTGCCTTGAGTGCTGCGGTTGCTAAATCTGGCTTGCTGCTCACTAGCTCTCTTCTAGTTAATAAAAAGTGTCATATTCTGTTATGCTGCTCTGAAAACTCCATTCTTCAGGAGTCTGCTGAGTGCTACCAGCTTCACTCTGTCTGTCGGGACTGGTCGCAACTTGTCCAGTACAGATTGTAATAGATTATACTCATGGTGTGGAAAGAGAATACCGTGTGAGGTTAGAATTGATGTGTTTTAGCAGGGGGCTTTCTATACACACAGTATGCTGACTCACTACATTCTTTTGCCCAAGTGGACAAACTGTAGTGTTTCACTGATTGGATTTGAACCCCACGAACATCCTTGTTACAAGTCCTTGACGACTGTTCCACACGGCGGCCTCATTAAGATCCACACGGGCAAAACGAGAGTCAAGATGCAGCCTTTAAACCTATAGAATGCGTAGCATGTCAGAGCAGTCTTCACTACATGTATAAACGTGTAAGCATTTAACATTTTCTAGGAATTAATTAACAGTGTATGCACAGCTCTTGTACGAAATGCATGTGTACACATACACTTACAGTACATATATAAATATTGACGTATTTTGCGTATACAGCCATCTGTTTACATGTCTGTGTCCTTGACCTTCATGGGTTTTCACTTGGTAGTGCCAGTTATACTGGCCCAAGACTCAAATAGCTAGACCACCCCCCCCAGGACAGTGATTCCTAGGCCTTGGTGCTGAGGACCCCCAGACCCACTGGTTTTCATTCCAGCCCAGCTCTGTACTTAATTAACTAACAAGAAGTTGCTTGACTGCAACCTGTGGACGTTGTTAATTTCCGCTAAAACCTTCAGACAGAAAGGACAGTCGAAATGACATAGTTTCACCTCAATCAATTAAATGTAAAACTAAACCAAAATCAGCGCAAGTCAATACTTGACATGACAAGTGACAATATGCTGTTTTTCGAATGCCTTTTCATTTATGAGCTCCTTTAGGAGCATTAGCTGCATCTTGTTTAGCATATATCCACCCTATTTTGTAAATAAGAACTTCCACATGATGTTTATTTAATTAATCAAATGTACTCTTTCTTATCGAGAATTTGCTCTCCTCCAGTTACTACTCCAATTGGCTTTTTATAACGTTTCCTTTCCCTAACAAACCAATGCGCATCAAAAACTCCAAGCTGCGTACGGATAAGGATTCACTGAGTTAATCGATTAAAACAGTTTAATTCTTACTTCATCATGGGTAACAGTGATGTAAAAAATATTTTATGTCCATGAAATGGTAACATCGTATCACCTTTTAATGCTACATGTGAGGCTCTACCTTGGCATCGTCAGAAGACTGTGCATTAAGTGTATTTCCAGTACTAAGGTGAAAGCACTGAAAAGACTTTGGCGCCAGCAATGATCTCCATCCCACTGCGGCTCGTAACCCTACCCTACTAAAAGAGGGGCCTCTTGCTACATCATAGCCAGCCTTGCAGTGACACCCAGCCCAGCTGCAGCTGCCCTGCCTGTGCAGGCCGCTGTCCTCTTCTGCGGAGAAGGACAGTGAGTCAGAATTCAAAGAGACACATCTATCCAGTGTTTAATTTCCCTGCCGATCTGCAGCAGCAGGCTTTGCGCTCAGAAAGGATTTTGTACCGTTCAGCACTAATACTGGCTGAAGGTCCGACGTGAATGGCCTGTCCTGCTCACAGCAGCCCGGGTCTTGTGATCCTCTCTCCTGGCTTGGCAGATCACGTCAATTGCATGCCTGTGCAATCTCCCAGCCTGCATTTCCCCAGTCTCCGAGCAGGAATGCGCTGCCTTGTTGGTGACTCAGAGTGGCAGTCCGGACAGATGTAGAGATATATTGCCTTTAACTGGGGACAGAAATCAATCGAGAAGGCAATATGTGATGTAATAAATGAATCTGCGTTAACAACACCGCTTACAATACTGCAAAGGCACAGATAAAGGTTTATTCCATGCCGGAAAGAAAAGAGAGACATTGTTTTGGCTGTGGCTCCTGAAGAAGGCTCCACATCCAAAATATTGCGCAGTGTTCCCTCTAATTTGTAATGGCCTGTGTGTGCAAAAATTTCAAGTTGTGCACATTTTTCCCCCCAGTGACAAAAACTTGTGCGCACTAAATGGAGTGTATGTAAAAATGTAAACCCGAAATTATTTTTTGTTAATATAGTCCAAGATCCAAAAGACCAGGACAGCGACTCAACGATCCCTGTCATAGAGACGAGATGACGAGAGCATAGATATCGATGATCGAGTAGCAATAATAATGCACACAGCCAAGTCTGGCCTCTTGCAGCCAGTCTCATGTGGTCAATTTAGCATTTTTCAATGGACGGCTGTGTTTGTTTTATTATTATCATATTGTGGGGGAATTCAATTTTTTGTGTGCAGTTCAATTTCCTAGGTGTGCTGATTTCATAACCCGTGTGCCTGGCTTAGAGGGAACTTTGGCGGAGCAGTGGCTCTGTGGCTTAAGTTTCTCTCCCCGTCTGTGTGTCTCATGGAGAGCAAGCTGGGGTCTGCGAAAAGACAAATTCCTAATGCGAGAAATTGTATATGGCCAATAAAGTGATCTTATCTCTTATTGTGTCTCTTTTCAGCATGGAATAAACCAATATCTGTTCTTTTTGCAGCCTACGCATGCTGACATAGCTACCAACTTCAGCTTGCAATACTGTCAGCCTAGAAGCCCCTGGTCTGTTTGTGGCCCTGTGTTTCAGGCAGTTTGATTCTGATACTCACCGTTTTAAGAGATGTATATGTCTGAAATAAACTAATTTTCATTAAACAGCTCGAGTGCAAAAGCTGCCACTATCCCTTCCTCAGCTTGTATTGGTAAGGGTGCCAGCTGTAATTGCATCACAGTGACATGTAATTGATTCACCCAATTAACAAACTGAACCAAAGGAGGTATCTTGTACACGCTAGGTGCCTACAGGTGGTTCTTTTTCAGTCTTCCAGTCAAACCCGGGCAAGGTGTTGCTGTGCAATCTCTTCAGTCATTCTGGCTGCTGATTGCCAACAACGTCTACCTGTGAGGCACAGTGCTAAGAAACAAGAGAGGACAAGCTGTTGATGGTAATCTTTAATGGCCATTTCAAAAGTACACTAGAACTGCATTGTTAGAACGTTGCCCCAGATAGGTACAGTTTACACTGGCATTAAAGGCTCTTTCAACAGCTCTGTCTACCACAACTAAGGCAGGCACCAGCTAAGAAATGACTTAAAGAGGCACCAACTGTGTCTGTGCACAATTTTTATTTTCATCACAATCTGAGGCTCTGGATGCAAATAACATCTGGAGGAATTCCATCTGGTCACCGTACAAGCAGCGACAGGAACAGCCCCCTGAAACTTGTGCCAGTGCCCCCAGGAGCATGGGAAACCATTCTGCCCATCCAGCTAATTGACCTGACAGTTTAATCCAGCTCTTTTCTTGAAAGAAGCCAGGCTTTAACAACATGGCCGGGTAACACGTTCCACACTCCCACTACCCTTGGCATAAAGAAGTGCCTCCTGTTCTCAGTTTTAAAGAACTTCGGATGCGTCAGGTTTGCCCGATCTTTAACTACCTACAAAAAATGTCCTCGAAAGCCACCTGTCCACACGGCGCCTGGAGACCTACAGCTCCTTCCTTTCCTTTATTGCTATGTGCTGACAATTTACACTATTTTACCCTACTATCTTGAACCAAAGGAGAATTTATGTTTCAGTGCTTCAGTTCATACGGTCGCCTGCCTGCAGAAGGGATTGTCGTCATTTCTGAAATACGACCATATGTTTCCATTCATTAAAATATCTGGATGTCATACTACACCACCAAGGTTGCAGCAATTAGTTTCTGCCTTTGAAGGCTGATTTGTCTCATCAAAACATTTGCGCATCAACAAGTACACGAGTTCTCCTTCCGGAGGTCGGGCCCAAGGAACCTCTGTGGCTTTTCACACCCACTACCTGCGGAACCTCAGAGGATACCTGAGACACCTTTGGGGAACCTTAATTGCTGATCACTTTACAAAGGTACTACTCATCTTTTAAAGTCCCCGAGCTGAAATGTGCCAATGATGTGCCAGCGAAATGCACATCCCCAAATTATTATGAAAACAGTAAGTTAAGAAATGAATGACTAATCAAAGCTAGATCTTGAGTTTTAATTTTTTTTAGGCTCTGACTTAAATTATTTTTTAGTTTGCGGACTATTATTTAAAAACAAAAGGTTGCAATGAATAAGCGACACTAAGGGGCAATACAATGCCTTTTTAGTTCCACCCCTCCTAAACATCCATATATAAGACTTATTTTCCGAGCCATTAAAAAGAGGATAAATGCAGGTCAGCTGGCGCACGCCTCTGACTGCGCCGGCTGCGTTAGTGTGCAGTGTGCGCGAGGCTCAGAGCTCCATGCGGATGTGACATTTCGGAGAGGAGCGCGGCCGCCATTTTGAGTTTTCGCCTCGAACCGATCATCACAAACAGAGGGAGAGGGAGAGAGGCTCGGACTGGGACCGGGTTCACCACAAATTAGACGGAGAATAAGCCTTTTAAACGCGGAGCAAATTGGCGTTTAGTTCTCTAAATATAGTCTGGGGATTCGGAAGAGGAAACCGGGTAGAAAAAAAGTCAGAGAAAAACAGACGGGGGGTACCTTAGGCACTTGCAATTTCGGAATTAGTGCGATTCCAAATTAGAGCCGGTTTGAATGGAGAGATTTTTTCGTCGCTCTCCCCGAGACGAGGGACAATCGGAGGAGCACAGAGGCTGGGAATGCAGCGGGGCAGCCGGTCTTTAGGCTTCTGCTCAGTCTGCGTGTGAGCTTTAAAAAAAATCAAGAGTAAACAAAAAAAAAATTGAGTTCAGTTGCGCGCTAGGCTTCTTTTTGCAGGGTAGTTTTCTTGGGTTGCAGGTGGCGTGAGTGATTTCTCTCACCTCAGATCTTGCCCCATTTTCTAGGGGGCAAAAGCCTGGTAATTACTTTTTTTTCCTTTTATTTGGGCTTCCTGACGTTGAAGCCCCTTTCATCCCCTCCTCCTCCTCCTCCTCCTCCTCTCCCCAGCGACTTGTACCCCCTTCAAGGCGCCGAGATTGGGCGAATAGCGAGCAAATACGTCCGCGTTTCTCTGCCTGCTCCCCCGCCGACCTCCCCTCCTCAACCCCCGGCGCAGACGACAGGAAAGGCCGAGGTCGTCGCGGAACAGGCCCAGCCGCCCAGGCTCGACCTGTCTTCCCCTCCTCCGCCTTCCCAGACACCCCATCCTCAGACCCGGATCGCTCCGGACTCGGCGTCGGGAAAGGCCGAGGGGAACGAAGACCACAGGCACCATCACAGCGCCGCGGCCGCCGACATGAACCACCACCACCCGCAGCAGCAGAAAGCCGGCGAGCAGCAGCTGAGCGAGCCCGAGGACATGGAGATGGAGGGTAAGGGGCAGGCCGCGATCGCAGACGCCACTCGGGTGGGGGAGCGAGTTGGGAGTCGTGTTTTTTTTTTTATCGGGCTGACTTGAAACGCGTTGCCCAGCGAGCTAGTGTGGTTTTCCGTGTCAGGAGCGTTGCGGGGAGGTGTTCAGTTAGTCGTGAAATTAATGTCAGCCCGTCAAGGCGAACATCGGGACGCCTTTAGTCGGCTCTTCGGGGAGGTTTAAAGACCACTGCAGGCTGCGTGACATGATCGTTACCCTGCCGCTAGTGAAAATGTCAGTTGGTGTGATGTTTACACTCCAGGCTCCGTCCCGAAGACGGTGAACGAGTCCCTCTTGGAGGCGACATGCAGCCTGAGATCGGGTGTCTGAACACCATCGTATATGCGTCTTCCAGCGTGTAACCCACACGGTATTTTGTGTCTTTCGCAGCCGGGACGTGTTTTATTCGCGTAGTGGAGTCGCCAAGCTGCCCTGTCCTTTGCATTGTTATCTAGATGGCACGCTGGCTGGGTCGTATCACGCCCCCCCCCCCGACGTGTCTTAAAAGTACAGCTACAAACGGGTGGTAGGGTCGCTTAAAGAGTCGGCTGTTGAAGCGTAGGGGGTTATCCAGCTCTGCAGAGCCGGCCCGGTGGTGCTGCACCCGCGGGGATGAGGGGAGCCGGTCCACGGGTCGGTGGTAAATAACTGTCCGGGACCGGACTGGCCTTGAATGGACCGGTCCACCACAGGCCGGGCTCAGGGCTGTCCTCTACAGCGGCGTGTCTGCTTGCACTGCCCGGCCCGGCAGCAGGAGAAATGATGGTCTTTTATTTACCAGGCCCGTGGACAGCCAGCGACGTTTTAACACGGGGAGTGGGGGAGGAGGTGGAGGAGGAGGAGGGGGGGGCGCATAGCGAAACGGTTTCAAGATGGAGGAATATTATTTTGCAACAGCTTGTTTTGCAGAACAGCCTGTGCGTCCCTTTTAATTTGGTCCTCCCCACCCCCCAAATGCGTTTTCGTCTCTGTGTGTGTGTGCACTACTATTTTAACCTTGCATCACCCAGGCCGCATTGCGATTCAGGTCCATAGGCGTCATCGCTGTGACAGTCGGGTCTGAATCGGGAGGTTGTCGCTCTTCACCTGCGGTAAAAGTTCAGAAAAGGCTGCTGTTCGGATCCGGTGGGGCCGGCGTGGGGCCCGGGCCGCGAGTGGGGATTTTCTCTCCTGCATTGTACGGAGAAGACGGACGCACGGACAGCGTGTGGGGCTCGCCATTTTTAATCTGCCGCCTTTATCGCTCCGCCGAGCTCACCCGCCTTTCGGATGCGCACAAAGCACGGCCGCTGTAATGGCATTTCATTGTGAGGCGCCGTCAGTGCCCTTTAAATGTAAACGAAAAGTCACTAGTGTCCATTTCATGCAAGTCATGCTGGGCTTTCAAGGGGAGGAGTAATTTATTTCTGGCCATCTGGGCATCGTTCAGCTATCTCGGAGATCGCCCAGGGGCTCGCATTGGAAAATAAATGAGTACATCATTCAAAACTGCTATAAGTAACGAGCATCTTATAGTGGCTTCAAACTTTCAGAGCACCATACATGGAGGGCGTATGGGGACAAAGCAGCGATTTTCCTTTGAAATATTTAGTCACTGTTAAGCCTGAACAAATAATGTCTCTTGCAGTCCTGAAGACCAGTGAAATTATAGGAGTGTGTTGGCTTGTTCTTTTACTTAGATGTTCATCAGTGAAGTGGATTTGTTTCGGACAGATCAGTGTAGGATTATTAAATGAGTTGGGATCTTGAGCATAAAGGATGGGGCCAGTACATACTGAGAGTCCTGGGTCCTCCCCTGAACTGTTTTCTCTCCCTAAAAATGTGTAAGCCCTGTTCAGGAAGTAGAGCCTGATGGAAGCCGGACTTGTACTTGTAACAGAGTAAAGTAAACCTACACATTTGAGGCTTTAAATTGAGGACAGTTCTGCACTTTAAAACATTCGCAGTGATTAGGTTAAAGTAACTATTTTTGCAAAAACAAGTTTAATAAGCAAATGCCTTAAATTAATATATCAGCTGACGTCCTCCCTTACCAGCCAGATATCTTTACTTCTCCCAGGAGTTATTGTACTGTGTCACTTCTGAAGTGAGAACATCATTCTTATGACTAGGAATACATTTGTAGATGTATTGTTATCCTGTGTCATAATGCAGTATGAAACATGTAAACCTCTTGTTTGTGGTTTCTTTTCCAAGTTAATGGATATTCCAGTAATGCTTACAACATTTAAAGTCATGCACAGCTTTATTCTAGGTATAGGGAGATGGTGTTTACACCTGCATCTCTGTACTGTATTTTCTTAGTTTCCTTCTTGTTTAATAAATGTTTGTGGCTGTTTATTGGAGCTCTTTCCTTTATTTAACTCCCTAAAACCTCTGTCGAGTTTGGAGCTGAGTTTTGTCTTTAGATGCCAATTTGCAACTGTACAAAGGCAGGAGTTGCCAAAAGTAATATTGCATGTCAGTCGTGGAACTGGGAAAACTGTAAATGGTGTGGGAAAAACTGGAGAAAGAAAAGGTATTTGGGTGCTTTTTTTTGTGGGTTTGTATCCACAGGGTCTTGCTTAAAGAACTACATGGTCAGCAGCTTCTGAAATGAAACTGGCTTTAGAGTTGCTATGAACCCGATTTCCTTTCTTATAGGGTGCTGAGTTCTTAAAATACGGTTTCAGTGCCTTTTGGTTGGGGCTTGCGAGTTTTGTGCAGTTTGCATGGGTGGGATAAAGGTGTTAAGTTATTAAAATCTTTTGCCTTCACACCTTTGACTTGTGTTTTCTATTGTGTGAGTGTGACACAGTAAGTTGTTCTTTCTGTGTTGTAAACCTGTTCTCGTTATTTGTCAGTTCATGTCCACCAGAGCCATTTAAACCTGAAGGCTCATCAACAGCTATGAGAGTGTGTGAGACTCAGCCCTGCCACATGCTGGTTCAGAAATATGTTTGGTACCGGTAGTTAAAATAACGATGAGATTGCTTTCGTACTAAGCTTCAGATTTTCTTAATATTTAGTTGAATTCTTTAATTGAAAAGTCTTTTTATGCAGGATGTCTCTTTGCCAGTGTTCTCTTTCCTGTGTCTCTTACTGAAATGCTGTTTTTGATGCATCTCCACACCTCAGTGGGCACCACGGGCTAGCTGTACTTTCCGCTTGAGTTCACCAGTGGCTGTTGGTTTTTTTGAGCATCTTTATCATCCTGGACCAAAAGAAGTTTCAAGTAATAGGTTTATTCCATGCTGAAAAAAAGAAGAAAGAGAACACAACGTTTCGGCCGTGGAGCCTTCTTCAGGTGTGAGCACCTGAAGAAGTTTCTATGTGTTGTTATAACCAAAGTTGGTAATATCACATAGGTTTAGAAAAACAGGCTTTGCCCTATGTTATCACTTGGTTGAGTATACTTTCGTTATTACCACACTAATGATTGTATGGTCTGTCAATACATAAGTATTATATGTAGACTGAAGACACTTCTTCTTAGCCTTTTTTTCACTGTTCTCCTGTTAATTTGTGGGTATGGGGTAGTTTACAGTGTATCCTTACAACGTAGTACTTTTATGTTGTAAAATAATACACGTCGGAAGACTTTATTTTAATGCCAAGCTAGGCATCTCTCTAAACCCTGTGATTTTTCACTTTTAGCGGGAGATACAGATGATCCCCCAAGAATCACTCCAAATCCAGTCATTAACGGCAATGTAGCAATGGCTGATGGACACAACAACACAGAGGAAGACATGGAAGATGGTAAGTTTATTCTAAAAAAGTTCTATATGAAATCAGGTTCCATCTAAATGTCAAAAAGGTATAAAACTAGTAGATTTTTGTTTGTCCACTGTGAAAATGTGACATGTTCTGGGTTTGTAATTTGTTGTTGGAAAGCTAGCTGAAATTAGTCCTGAGATAAGATCAGCTATCAGTTATGAGAGGACACCCAACTGCTTCACTTGGCTGATGGTAATTAATTGATTCCAGGGATCTATCATGATTTTTTGGAAGAAGACAGAGTTTCAACTTAAATGATATGGCCAAGTAGCTTGTTCCAGACCCTCCCAATCCTTTATGTAAAGAATTAGCCCCCTTTTTTTTCCCCATAACCCTTCCATATCAATTTCTCTTTGGGATCAATAAAGTCTTTATCTATCTATATGCATAGTTTTCAGTTGTGCCTTTTGGTTTGTGTTTCACTGTTAAGTCAGTTCTTATACAGAAAGGTAACTTATAATTTACTTCCTTAAGTTGTAAGACGTTTGTTACTGGTCTACCAATATTGCACCTCTTTTTTTTTCCTTAAAGCTTGATTATAATCGAGTGCTTTATTGCTGCTTGGTTAAGAAGTACTGCAGGAAGTGACCAGTCCTTAGTCCGATGGGGTGTTTGTTAGCAACCTCTGTTGCACCTCTTTTTTTTTTTCCTTAAAGCTTGATTATAATCTAGTGCTTTATTGCTGCTTGGTTAAGAAGTACTGCAGGAAGTGACCAGTCCTTAGTCCGATGGGGTGTTTGTTAGCAACCTCTGTTCAGACTTTTTCATGGAATCGGCAACTAAATGTGATAAAGAGAACATACAAGCCTTTTAAGATAACTCAAATGCTCTGTCTTATTAAACAGTTCTGGAGTTAATGTATTGCCAGTACTTTGGGGGATGTATGTCCATCGTTTATGATGTGCGTAACTGTTAGGCAATGTGATTGGTATAAAACGGGGCTCTGACGTACCAACCTCGTCGCCATGGAATTAAACATTGATCAAAGACCCATTTAAAGCAGGTTTCCGAGAGCTCGTTCATTTTAGTGGCTGCTTTTTCCCAGAGTATGCAACCTGCCATTGGTCGTCGATATTCCCGGTTTCAGGAGAAAGGAAAGTAGAACAGGCATATTTAACGTTCAGCTTAAACTACAGCAGCAAACTAGTAAATTCTGTAATGCCAGCTGGAAAACCTGGAGTAGATCCTGCGAGTTTTGACTGTCTTTACTAGTTTGAGAAGTGCTGCAATGTGCTCTGTCCCCACAGACACAAGCTGGAGATCGGAGGCCACTTTTCGGTTTGTCGTGGAGCGCTTCAGCAGGCTGGGCGAGTCTGTGCTCAGTCCCCCGTGCTTCGTGCGGAACCTGCCTTGGAAGATTATGGTGATGCCAAGGTTTTATCCCGACAGGCCTCACCAGAAGAGTGTGGGGTTTTTCCTGCAGTGCAACGCTGAGTCTGACTCCACGTAAGATGCAGCTGTTATTGGTTGTTATTTCTAAATGCCTGGATATTTACTTTGTGTGTAAATGATGAAAACCATAACTGAATAACTGTAATGTATTTATTGGTGGAAGGTATCTGCATATTGTATGTTTTGTATTCTGATATTGCCTGCTTTAAGCTTTGCATGGAACCTTTATTAGTAAGTGACAGCTCAGTTCAGTCAATTTGTACACAGTAGTTTTTTTCAGCCTACAATTTGTCTTTTTTTGTATTTTTTTTTAATTCAACCTGCAGTATGAAACTTAACTAAGCTGACCTTTTTGCACGGCTTGCTGTTTCTCATATTAAGAAAATGTTGCTAGATTTGACTTATTTTCTCGAAAGACCATGTCCGATCCCCAGTATTCAGAGGCTTGGTCGATTTAACACTTGTTTTGTGTTACTTGCAGGTCGTGGTCTTGCCATGCCCAGGCAATGCTGAAAATAATAAATTATAAGGATGATGAAAAATCCTTCAGTCGCAGGATCAGTCATCTTTTCTTTCACAAGGAAAATGATTGGGGTTTTTCCAACTTCATGTCATGGAGTGTATGTATTGGTTCAGTAGTTTCATGTTTTAGGAGTGGCTGAGACGAAGATGTAGAAATCATAAGATGTTTTTGAGTGGGATTCCTTTCCAAAGACTTGTCAAATTAATTTTATTAATATTTCTAGGATGTGACTGATCCAGAAAAGGGGTTCATTGAAGATGACAAAGTATCGTTTGAAGTTTACGTTCAGGCAGATGCTCCCCACGGAGTGGCGTATGTATTTTTTATTCCTTACGTTGTTTCTTGGGGAAGGGGATTCAAATTCTAGCTGCTTAATGGGTTTACATTAGAGCATCTGTGAAAACTGACTTCCTTATTATGGCTCATACATGCTGAAATTTGGGATGTTTCTGTCACCGCGTGAGAGGGCGCACACAAAGATGTTCCCGTTTTCCCGGCCTGTTCAGGACTGCGAACAAATGCAGCAAGCTTAGTGTTGGCCCATTTGAAAGGGGGCAAAGGCTACTTGCCTTACAATAGTAGCAGCACTATTCTAAGTTTTAACTCTAAAGAAAAGCTGGGTGAGAGTCGGGGTACGGCTTCCGAGATGACTTGAAATAATTGGAAATTAAGTTTACTGCCAAAGTTAAGTCCTGTAATTGTGTACATTGTATTATAGATGGGATTCGAAGAAGCACACGGGTTATGTTGGGCTGAAGAACCAAGGAGCTACCTGTTACATGAACAGTTTATTACAGACACTATTCTTTACGAATCAGCTCCGACGGGTAAGTCTATTTTGCAAAACGGCAGAATCAGTATTTAATTTTTAGTTCACAAAATTGATGCATTGCTGGCTTATAAAAAAAGAAGATGTGGTTCATAGACCCTAACATGGGATATTTTAATTTTTCCTACATGCAAGTATGTTCTTATTTCCTAAATTTGCCAAATTCTTTTGTTTTACTTCTGTTTTAGGCAGTTTATATGATGCCAACAGAGGGTGATGATTCTTCCAAAAGTGTCCCTTTAGCATTGCAAAGGGTGTTTTATGAGCTCCAGCACAGTGACAAGCCAGTAGGGACAAAAAAGTTGACAAAATCATTTGGGTGAGCATTTCGTGGAATCCTAATAGCAAATCTGTTCTGTACTTTGCCCTTTTGGAATTCTTTTAATTGAGGAAAAGTGTTTAGTAGACTGGAGCTGCCAAATATTTTATATTTGTCTTTTGAAGGTGGGAAACATTAGACAGTTTCATGCAGCATGATGTGCAGGAACTTTGTAGAGTGGTAAGTACATTTAATTGAGAGATAGTGTTGTTTTTTTTGGCCATGTCTAGTTAAAAATTTGTACCGTTGCTCCTGAGCTTGCAGGCTCCTGAGCTTGCAGGCATTCCTAAATTATATTTAGATGGAAGCTTTTGTAACTCAAATACACAATTCCCACTGTAAGACTGAGTTGGAACATAAATATATTCTATCCAATGTAATATAGGATTTACTATTCTGAGTTTGTGATGCCATATAACTATTTAACTGTGGCTGCAGTTTTTCTGTCGTGTGGCATTGCTTACTTTGTATTTTAAGTGCAAAATGTATACAAATATTTGGATAAATTATACAAATATTTGGATTGTGCTTTAAATAATATAAAACCTTCCACAATAAAAATTAAATGCAGCACACCCTGCTTATCTGCCATTCTGAGGGTCCAGAAAAGCACAGAATGTCCCCCCCCATCTCACACCAAGCACAGACATCTCTACTTAAAGTGGCCCTGAGCTCCGGTGCTGGCCGAAGGTGCGAATAACCGCTCTTCCAAGGCTCTTCCAAAGTAGCTCCTGGTTCAGCACCATGACATCTGTGGGTCAGTAGGGATGAAGAGTAATTTAAATCCGCATTCCACTTATTAGTGGAAGAGCATCTACTTTTTAAGTTTTACTGTTCATTTTATAAACGTTTAATATTCTTCCCTCACTTTAGCTCCTTGACAATGTTGAGAACAAAATGAAAGGCACTTGTGTTGAAGGCACCATTCCGAAACTCTTTAGGGGGAAGATGGTGGTAAGTTGATATTTGCTATGATCCGTTTTCTTCCTGTGTATTAGCTCGTTCTTAAGATGTGCAAATGTTATTTCTTTACAGTCCTATATCCAGTGTAAACATGTAGACTATAGATCTGAGAGAATAGAAGATTACTACGACATCCAGCTCAGTATAAAGGGAAAGAAAAACAGTAAGTATATAAATTTACTCATTTCAAAAATCCTTTCTTTCATGTAGCTGCGTTTTCTCCATCTGTCCTTATTGAAATTTAAACTTGGAACAGGCTATATCGTTAACAGGGTTGTCCATGGTTTCTGTAGTGTTGAGGCATATTGAATGTTTTGCTTAAGCTTAATGTTTGTATTTGTTCTGTAGTTTCTTCCAAAAACTAAACGAATATTATGTTCTGCACCAAATCATCTGTCATAATACATTATGTGCTATGCATATAACACTAGGTTATTATTTAATCTATATTGACAGTAAAGCAAACTTTTGAAAAGACGTCTTGGATTTGGAAGAAAAATGCTGCATCCAAAAGAAATGTCAGAATAATTTTGAAGTGCAGCTGTCCTTAAAAGGAATTAACTTGTGAAGTGTTGTATTAAGCATTGGTCACTTGAATTAGCAGGTGCATGCTTTCAGTGTTGCTTTACCCAATTTTTCTTCAGCAGTGTCTTTCAGGTTTATTTACTACATTGACAGATGCCAGTAGTCCTTTTAGGAATGATTGTAAATATTTTTAGGTCTGAGATGTGTGCTCAAGTCAATGCTTTATAGTAACCATGTATTCTCTGTATTCTCTCTGCAGTATTTGAGTCCTTTAAAGATTATGTAGCAGTGGAGCAGCTGGACGGAGATAATAAATACGATGCTGGGGAGCATGGCCTGCAGGTGAGGCTTAACTTCTTGTACTACAAGACAAAATACAATATGTGAAGTCTTTTTAAGATACTATCTTATGTTAAATTTCATTTGTGGGAAATTTAGTGTTATAAGAGTTAGTGTTTTAACATTTGCGGACATTGTCTTCAACAGGAAGCCGAGAAAGGAGTGAAGTTCTTGACATTTCCTCCTGTGCTGCACTTGCAGCTCATGCGATTCATGTATGATCCCCAAACTGACCAAAACATTAAGATCAATGACAGGTAAGAAGTCTGCTTGTGAATACCAGATGTCTTTTTAACTGTGATTTTATGATAGATTGGAAATACATCATTCGGGGAAATTCTGCCATTTCTTCAAGAAAATCATTTTACATCTTTCAAATTATACCCTCTTTATAAAATTAAGACCCACTAATTCTAAAGCATTTTAGATTTAGGCTATAGAGACCAAGAGTTATACATTTTAAATCTCCTTTATTAACATAAGTCAAAACTCTAGAATTCGTCTTTATGTATTGGGGATATATTCTCCCCAATAAATTCTTGCATTGCACATAATCCAGTAAACCTTATTTAAATTGATGGATTTTTCCTCATGTGGGTATGAAGAATATGGGAATATCAAGCTTGAATGGTTTAGAAATTAATGCAAAAACCTGGCAGGAAAAGTAATAGGTACTTTAACAAGTAACAAAATGGTACTCTTGTGTTGTCCAGGTTTGAGTTTCCTGAACAGTTACCCTTGGATGAGTTCTTGCAGAAGCCTGACGTTAAGGATCCAGCTAATTACATCCTCCATGCAGTGTTGGTCCACAGTGGGGATAATCATGGTGGACACTACGTGGTGTATCTCAATCCTAAAGGAGATGGCAAAGTGAGTTATAAGGCTGTTCATGTTTGTGTTCATGTTTGTGCATGTTTGTGTTATGTATGCTTTTGACGATGGTTGTAAGCAACAGTAGAGCTTTTCCCAAAGCATATCTGATTTTTAAGTAGGTTTTAATGATTAAGTCGTATGAAAAGCTTAATTTACATTTTTTTTTGTATCTCATAGTGGTGCAAGTTTGACGATGACGTTGTATCCAGATGTACAAAAGAGGAAGCAATTGAACACAATTATGGAGGACACGATGATGACCTGTCAGTTCGTCATTGTACTAATGCATACATGTTGGTGTACATTAGAGAATCCAAACTCAGTAAGTAATTCCTAATTCTTCATACACAGACCTCTTGGCAGACCACATTGTTTGGGAAATGGAGCAGCACTGATGATGATGTCTTATTTGAGAACAGTGTTGTTGTACATTTTCTATAGCACTCGAGCTGCAAATCTTTTAAGTGTACAACAATCGTTTCATCTCCAGATGGAATACGTCCAATATATCTTCTGTATTAAATTTAGTTTTTTGCATTATTAATCATTACATTGCTGATACAGACTGGTTATTGTAAATCTTTGCTCAGCACAAATGTTAGTTTGCTCCTCACCTCGCAAAGAGGACTTGTATATCACACAGAACCGCAGTATTCAAGTGCTCCTTTTGGTTTTTGCTTTTGAAGAAAGCTACTGACCAGTACCTATAGGTCTGAAGTTTTAATCCCTTCTTCTCTGAATATGGTCATAACTCTTCTTTTGCGTCCGTTTGATTATATTTTCAACCATTGAATCTATAAGGGTGATTATGGCTTAGGTTAACCTTAGCCTTCAGTTTAGTTTACACCGTAACCCTTTTCTTTCCTCTTGTGCAGGTGAAGTATTGCAACCGGTCACAGATCTTGACATCCCACAGCAACTTGTTGAACGGCTTCAGGAAGAAAAGAGGGTTGAGGCACAGAAAAGAAAAGAGAGACAGGAAGCCCACCTCTATATGCAAGTCCAGGTGTGTGGAGTCAGAGCTGACTCGTTTTTTTGAGTGTTGCGTGAATAAGCTCATTTGTATTCTAGATGGTAATTGTTTGCATCTTCAGGGTTCTAGTAGCTTTCAATCCTTTTTTTTCATTTGAGATAAAAATCAGTGTGTAAGCTCAAGGTTTGTTCTTTTGGCATGTTGTGCTCCCAATCTGGAAAAGCTTTTTGTTTTCCTGATCATATGTTTTATTTCAGATAGTAACAGAAGACCAGTTCTGTGGCCACCAGGGCAATGACATGTATGATGAGGAGAAGGTGAAATACACTGTGTTCAAAGTTCTGAAGAGCTCAACCCTCGCCGAGTTTGTCCAGAATCTCTCACAGACCATGGTAAGCGTTTTGTACTCTATTCCTGAAGATTGCGTTTGACAAAGAAATGTATAAATTACTGATGCATGATTTTTTCCATGTTACAACAGTGTCATAAGCATGTGAGCTTAAGAGTTCTTTAAGACGTGAATCTAGTGTTGTATTGATCTGCTGCAGGGTTTCCCACAGGATCAGATCCGGTTGTGGCCGATGCAGGCGAGGAGTAATGGCACAAAGAGGCCGGCAATGTTGGATTATGAAGCAGATTGCAGCAAATCTGTAAGTATGTGAAATGCAGCACATTTTAATCTAAATGTTAGATTTGCATGAGTTTAATGCAACATGCATCTTTGACACAGGTCTGTTTGCAGTGCATGCACTAGTTTTTAGCTTTAGTAGTAAGGCTTTAATTTGAAACCCAGTAGGGACTACTGTAAAAATATTGTAAATATGCCATAAGAACTACTCCAGCGTCTTAAAGATGGGGCTCATAAAATGTTTCTGCTGTGTTTAACTTTACTTGAGTTTGGTCTGAGGTATAGTGAGGTAGAGTTGTATCAGTGTTGTGTATTATTTTCTGGACAGATGATTGACTTGAGTGACAATGAAAACCCATGGACCATATTTCTGGAAACAGTAGACCCAGAAATGGCTGCCAGTGGAGCGACGTTACCCAAATTTGACAAAGACCGTAAGTGTTTCAGTGTTGAAGTCAGTTGTGCAGTGCCATTGTAATTAGACTATAACAAGAATAGTGTCTCAAATGAAACATTCCCTTTCAGACGTAGAACTAATTTTATAAGTGTTTTTAACAAAGGTTGTTTTTCCGGAGTATGTGATATATCACTGTTCTGTTACAATGAAACATTTGAAGGTGAAGACAAATGAACCTGTGAGCAGTTTTAAAATGTCCTATATTAGTGTGGCTTTTGAAAGATGCTGTGCAAATAAATCGCAAAACCTTATTTTTGTAGATCACTTCCGAGTATATGTGGTGACTTATCAAGAAATACCAAATTAGCACGAGGAATAATTAATGTATTTTGTTTTCAGATGATGTCATGTTGTTTTTGAAGATGTATGATCCAAAAACTAGAAGCTTAAATTATTGTGGACATATCTACACACCTATATCCTGTAAAATACGTAAGTTAACTAATTTATTTTGAGTTTATTTTCTCCTATTAGTATTTGGGGCTTTATTTATTTTTCTTCTTGAAACAGGAGACTTGCTGCCAGTTATGTGTGAAAGAGCAGGATTTCCGCAAGGAACTAGCCTTATCCTCTATGAGGTGAGTGGCTTTTCTGGCCTCAAAATATGCTTTTGGCACTTTTTAAGCCTGTGGTTTTGTGTGATTCTCTTGCTTTTCCAGTTGTCAGTTACAGAGGAATGCATCAACACTTAAATTACACTCCCACTTTATTTAAACAAATTGTATTTCCTTTTTATCAATGTCTTTTGGAAATATATGAACTCCTTAAGCCTAGTGTGTATTAGTAAAGCTAAGAGGTGAATTAATGGAGTTAGGGCATAATGTGTCTTGATCTGTTTACACAATACAACTGCATCTGGCTTATTTACTCAAGAATTAATCGAACTGACAAATACTGTGCTGACAGTACCATCGGGAATTATTTGTTGGGCACCTGAGTGGTTCAGCCAGTAGAGGCGCTGTGGCCCAGGTGATGCTAGTTCGATCCTGAGTCATGTCACTTGACAACTCTCTGGAATTCCCCGCATATCTGTGCACAACAGGAAGTGTCGTCAGGTCGAGGGGGGTCTGCACTGACTCCTGCAACTTGCCAGGCACCTGCAGGCTTGTGGAGACACGCGAGAGAGAGAGAGAG